AACATAGGACTTTATCGCAGACGACAGTGGAAACAACAACAAGAACAACAAAGTAGCAGACGGCCCTCCAAACGTCCGGGCATGGCGTAGCAGACGAATCGGTCGTAGTAAGCGACGAAGTGAAGAAAAAAAAGTAAAAACTAAGCCGAACAAGACAAAGCGAAATACGCGGTGGTTAGAACGTCAAGTAAACAAAAGAAATTAAAAAAAAGCAAACAAAAAACAAACGCAGGAGAAAGAAAGATGGCGGCGGCGAAGCGTCGCCTCAAATATAAAAAGAAAGTAGACTGAAAAATGGAAGGAAGTGCATGACCGTCCAACGGGTGCTTTTTTTTTTGTAACTCCGGTTTTAATAGTTTTTGTAATAGCGTCAGATTTGTATTTGCACAATAGACTTTTCCCAGAGCACACTGACATCGCAGTAACATACGCCGTTCAAAATTGCCTTTTGCTTCTTCATCCGGAGACGATCGGGATTAGCCCGCTCGCCTATTCGACTAAACGGTTTTAAGCAATACAATCACGAGAAATTGAAACTACAGCAACAAAATGAATTGATCGATATGAACAGTAAAGTTGAAACGTAGCAATGTTCTAATTTTTTTTTTTTTTTTTGCATTGTCTTTATTTTAGGAAATTGAATGTAGGTAGATTTCTGTTTTGCCTGGGTTACGTAAGTTCTGGCAGTGTTTTCTTCCGGAGAGCCCGAAAATTGCACCCTACAAGCTGTAACATATTTCCCACGCGAAGAAAATGTCCTTGACTCATGAGGTGGCAGATATTTTTTAACATTCAAAGCAGTGAATACCCGTGACAATTTTTTTAATTGGTCACCTCGCACGGAGATAGGCAAAACCAATGCGTTGGGGAAAATTCGTCTGCTGGCGGAGACTCCGAGCTCGCCAGGAGCGCTGCGATCACTTTTCGCCCGCGATCCGCGGGAGTTGCCAGTATTAACTTACATGGTACTTGGTACTCCTGCTTATGCTACCGTGTTTTGTTAATTGGACCGCGCAAACGCTTGGATGACTTTCTATCTAAAAACCTTCAAGGTATTTTGTTTCCTTGCTTTGAACCTAAACAGTAATAAGGTTCTTTGATAGAATTCTAGCATCTTAGAAATAGTGAACGGGTGTTCATAATCTGATCAAGATATTCTGCATTTATTTTGATATCACCAACATTTGCATTCTCTCTCTCTCCGGCACTGTCCCTGGATCCAAGGTGCATTTCTTGTACAACATGGAGGTCTATAGACAAGTTGTTGTCACATCAAGCAAATAAGGTCTCCATATTTTATTAAATGATGCCCGGTGAAGGGAAGGAAAGCTGGACACCTTCAGTGTTGCACGATGGCTGCTTGTTGTATTTTGAAACCTTTTTGTTACCCATTCTTCTGTTTGCTTTTCTCTGATTGTGCGTCTTTATTGTGGACCTAAATCGTCGCCTTTGGGAAAACGTGGTTGAGATTTAAGTAAAATATGCATTTTGAATCAAGATCTGAGGATACACAGTCAAAGCGAGTATTAAAGCAAGCTGGTTGAGAACAGACGTTATAATCCTTGCCTGAACGACAGGGAGGGACGGCACAATCAAAACTGAACACAGCTTTGAAGTTTTGAATCTTTGCATTTGTGATGTCCCTCCCCATGCTTCAGTGTTACAATGCCAGACACTCATCGTTAATGCATGAGATGATAAATATTAAAAGGAGCATGTCAATTCATCCACCAGCTCTGTATAATGATACTCTCAACACCGTTCAGTGTCACTTGCTGAGATGACAGATTTGATGTCAAGCTCAGCAATTAGTAACATATCGCAAGACTTCTAACACTCCAAATATTATTGAAGGACAATAAACCACCAATTATAAAAATGTTTTGACATACATTAATTGTTCCAGGATTGAAAGTGAACAGAATAATTTTATCAATTGATATAATCACACTTACTGGATGGTTACAGTGCTATACGCAATACTTGAAAGAAATTATCAAAATAAAACAAGTCTAACGTAGGTCATGAGACAGCTGTGCGTCAGCTAATGAGCGACATCAACGCAGCGCGCCCACTAAATCATCAAAGTGCGCTTCACGCGTCATGGTACTAACAAACAGATAGCCCATCATCTGAGACTACTTTGCATTAGGTGCAATGAGCTAGGCTCATCAATACACTGAAATCAGTGGACATATCCTTGTCACCTTGCAATAGTGGGCTTTTATTAAGGGGCTTCCATATTAATAGCACCAACATCCTGCGCCGTTTGACTTCTTTGAAACACCAGTCCTTGCATCCAGGCACTGGCCATGGCTGATTTGTCTGAGACTTACAATTGTATAATGCACTGTCGCGTGATATTATCTGATCAGTTGGGGCGACGGGGGCTTTCTTTTGCAGCCCTGGTCACACCGTGCGCGCTTGTGACTTAGAATTGCTTTGGATACCCAAACCGGAACAGTACGGTCGCAACTTTCAATGACGACCTTTAATGAAAAAAACACAGTTACCTATAACGTTTGTTTGAGGCTGTAGTCATCAGGTTTCCTTTTGAATGCCACGTACGCATGTATAGTGGTACTGTCAAAACTGTCCTGAATGATGCCTCAGGTTAAGTAAAATACCTCAGGGATAAAACGAACATATGTCTAGAAACGCGTAGCTAAAATCGCTTGTTTTCCTGGAAGTTGTGACTATTGGCCGTGACTGCACGGTACACTGATTACTTGACCCTAGCCACAGAGAACTGGTTGGTTAATCAGGTTGACTCAAAAAGCGTAGCCGCGTAAATGAAGGAAAAGGAAAGGTTTGAGGACGCCTAGAAAACAGCAGTGCACATTAGATGAAATGATCTCCACTGGTCTGATTTCGGCCTGCTTCGAAGCTCTATCATGTTTGGGCACATTACTAAGCTTGCTATATATTTTAAAACATCTCGAACAGCCATATTTTCGGAGGAGAAATACAGGAACGATGCGGAAGTTTTTCAGCTGTCTGACATTATCGTGAGTCATCGCGTGAATTTGGAGCTAGCACGAGCTCCTTCTTTTTAGTGCGCCCGGGCTGCATTGCACTCGAGCGGCAGGAGTCTCATGCCTACCGGGTTGTGTTTATAGCTCAGCGTCATAAAGGCAGCGTACTCATACTGGAAGCAGGCCAACGGGGAGGCCCTTGTTAGGTTTCACAAGCCCGAGTTTAGGTGTGCAACACAAAAAAAAAAAAAAACCCTACCGTTACTACGATTCTCGTATGCTTCACGATATTCTTATCGCATAAAGTGCTTCTGATAAGCACTAACGAGCGCTTTAGTCGCACTTCAGAGATGTGACTCGCTGAGACGGTGACCTGGCCGATTTAAACAAAGCCACAAACAAGCCGCTGTGCGTGATCACATGACGGGAAATAACGAAACCAAACAAATGCGCTGGAAAGAAAGTGCACATTTATCTAAACAACACATTAAATGTCAGGCATATGCCCTTTGTCTCGTATAAAATAAAGTTGCAAATGTCCAACAACATACGCGTCTTTATCATGTCCGCCCCCACGCTGCGCCGCAATCCCCTTCCCTCCTTCTTCCACCCTGGACAATGCATGGAACGCATCTCCGCCCCGTGTGTTTCGCGTTCCATTCCGCCTCCATCGAAAGAGGTTCAAAAGTGGCGACAAGTGACGTCACAATATCGGGGTGTCTTGCCATCGGATGGCGAAACGTACGAGAGAACGTGAGTGCCCCTCTAGTCACGGCGTCCCGACTCCTGGCTGCCAAAGCTTCCGTGGCCTGTCAAGCCGAAGATCTACCTGGAGCAGAACAGGCGTCGGTCACATTCACCACCGCTGCTGCGACGCCGCCAGGATCGCGGCCGGCGACAGCGTGAAATCTTATGACACCATCACGCGTAAATCGAGAGACCACTTTTCTTTTCTTTTCTTTTCTTTTTTATCGCGGTAAACACACCAGTCGGGGACGCGTTCCAGGTACCATCTTTAAAAGTGCTTACATTACCATCTCACCAAGTGATACGCGCTGTCTATGCGGAGCGCAAGTTTGTCTGCTTCATTCGCAGGGGTTCTGGTGACGTCAGAACGCCGATCTCAGAATTGCTCCGATCGAAGGATAGTCGGTAGACCTAAAGGCAGCTTGCTTTGAGGTTTGAGGCCTTCGATCAGAGCCAATCAGAGCTCGGCGTTCCATCCGTCACCACAAACGCCTGTAAAAGAAGCAGACGTATTTGCGCTCCGCACAGTCCGTGAGAGCTTAAGAACCGCAGGGCGTGGCCTGATACCTTCACGCTTCTTACTTCATGGTTCGTCCTTTGCTCTTCTTATCTGCCTACGGCCCGATCTCATTGGCCTGCGGAGCTCTAATAAAATGTTCGAAATTTGCCATGTTCTGTCTTCCATATTTAAGTTGTCAGTTACCTTTGTAATGTAGTAGACTTTTACATTATAAGTTTCGTAACTTCACTGGTATTTATCAATGTAAATATATTTTCGAGCCACACTTGTGTTGCGCACAAGCGACACGATCTAAAAAAAGAAATGTCACTCGTTCAAAGGCGGAACCGACGTATTCCAATCGTAACTTTCCCCGGGGTGTGCCGAGACTAGGACAGGTTGCCCAATGACAAAATAGAGATGGAATTGTCGCAGTTCTTATAAAAACTGCAAGTTCATGTGTAACCTTTCATACTACTGTAATATATCTTCTTCTAAGCTCATTGCGTTTTATTCTTGATAATTTTATGCTCTGATTTAAATAAAATAAATATTTTTTTGTTTTCGATAACGGCTAGATTATCCTAATAAGTACAATATAAAAATAATGCAGCACATGTGCTTTATTATCGCTACGGTTTATGTAACCTGTATCATCATTTCTAGTCTTCGGGCAGTCCATTACCAAAGGGTCTCTTCTTTCATTTTCGCTAACTGGGCGTCCGCCCCACGAAACGCTCCGCGCTGACTGCTCGCGTATCTTGGCGCCCCTGCCCCAGGTGCAGACGGAGCTGCGCAAGTTCTTCCAGAGATGGCGCTGCGACCGTCGCGGTCCGGGCTGCGGGGAGAAGCAGCTGCAGCACCGGCACTCGCTCTTCAGCCAGTCGGTCACTTTCCTCAGCAGAGGTCGGAGTTCCATCCAATCGCTGCACTCCGGTGAGCACCGCGCAGACACGGCTGGCCTTGCCTAAGCAACACCAAGCGCACTTCTAGAAACACTTAGTCGACCGCCCCTGAAATACTGCCGCACATTTAAAATGTGACATTAAGATAATGGTCACCTGTCCAATTTTCTTATTTTTTCGTCGTTTGAGGTTTTACATTGTGCTCTTTTCTATCATAAACTAAAAGAGAAGTCCGTCTAAAAAAAGTTATTCCCTGGAATATTCTTATTACGTGATACCAGGCCAACTAAACACATGTTTACAAACTAATTCCTTAAAATAGTCACCTCTGAAGACAAATTACAAATGAAGATTCCTAATTCGTTGTCAAAATAGGAGATACCAGTCTTATTAATATAAAAGAAAAGCTACCTCCCTCAATCAAATTGCGAGTTTCGTTTCTCCAGAAACGGAAATTAAGAGGAGAGCAATCGCGAAAAGCAACAAATTCAAAGGCATTAGATATGTTTGTTACAATATTTTTTTGCATTTTGATTGCAGCACCCGGTGCTCCGCTTCCTCTTTCGCGCTTCGTAGACAATCGCAAGCCTGTCACCCCGACGGTACCCCACGAGTGGAAGCACATGCAGCTTGCGCGTGAACATAGTTTGGCAAGCTTGAAATTGCACGAACTTGTCCACACGAGCAGAAACATGGCGGCGGAGAGTGGCCTTGCTTGCAATCGTCTATACACTCCGTGCGGGAACTATAGGGGGCGCTTTGAAAAACGCGCGTAGCGCCGCTAGCGGAGGAGCTGGCGTTCGACAGTGAGACGCGTTCAGCAGCCTGCGGCGCCTTTTCGCGTGCGAAGCTGTGGCGGCGGAAGCGCGCACGGACGAAACTTTTGCTTTTTGAGCCGATACGTTTAGGGTGACGTTGCATGAGTGCTGGGGCAGACCTAAGAAGGGCATCTAGCTGTTCTCCACTTCTTATATATGGAGTTTGAGTCGTTATTAGGGGTGATTTCTCTAGTTGCGGCCGAAAAAGGGGTTAGAGCAATTTTACGAAAAGCAAGACGGCCGCCACCATAATTGCTCTGAGTGGGAAATTTGTTTGGCTCGTCGCTGTAAACGGAACTGCTGAAACGATGATATTTGGAGGCGAGTGAGATGTTCACTAAACGAAGTGTGCCAAGTTTCATTAAGACAGCACGTGTGGAAGTTATGTTTCTAACGAATAAAGAAATAAAGCTGTACGGGATATCCAATATTGGACCCAAAATGTTGTGTTATAACCGGGCTGTGCGAAGTTCAGATTTGGGCACACAGGTGCTTGGACTTTACAGTAACATGATACGGCACTTATTATACCAAAAATAGGTGGCATAGGGAAACCAGGTGGGAATTTGGTTTGGGTGGTGTAACCCAATGGTAACCGGTTTTGACCATGAAAGGGCTGTCAAGAGCATACCACTCGTTGTGTGAGGCGGAGACTTTACAGGTAGGAAGGGACTAGTGGACTGTACTTCCGGTTGAAACAACTTTACGAAAGGTGGTTCTAAAGCCGAGAAAACAAAGTTGTCGGCCAACACACGGTTTAGCCGCCAAAGGCTTTTGCGGTCAGCTGTTGTGTAATAACCTGTTGCGCGAGGTGCTGACTTTGAGCACACAGGTACTTTGACATTATTATACCAAAAAGAGGTGGGATAGTGAAACCAAGTGGAAATTTAGTTTGGGCGGCGTAACTAAATGGGAACCAGTTTTGACCGTCAAAAGCTGTCAAGATAATACCACTCATCGTGGGAGGTGCACACTTTACAGGTATAGAAAGGGACAAGTGGGGTGGTACTTCCAGTTCGAACAACTTTGTGATAGGTGGCTCTAAATCCGAGAAAAAAATTGTTGTCTACAGAACTCGCGGTGTCAGTGTTCCCACATTCAAAAGGAGGCTGATCAAAAGAGAAAGCACACCACATAAACTTCCATACTCAATCGTCGATTCTCCAGTGATTCCGAGTTTCATTGTAGTTTTCCTTAGAATCATATTTGTCACTTTTTTTTTTTTACCGTTCGAATCTTTCCACATGAAGTACAGGTTGCGTGCCATACTTGTCCGGAAATATCATCGGCACGTACGATGGGCACGAAACTCCTTTGGAGGGCATTCCTCCAACGAAATTGGCACTGCATACCCGCGAGTGTGGGATGGCATTTCAGTTCGTCCCATCGGCGCTAACACATATAGACGTCACTGGTACGAAAACAAACGCAGAGCGTAAAGCGGCAGTGTAGAATATGTCAGCCGTGCCGACACAGTGGCAGATATGACCGGAAGACTGAATTTTTCGCGTAGTACGGCACGGGTCCATCGTTGTCGCTGTCCCACAAAACATCAGCGAGGTGAAAAACTGTGAAACGTCCCCACGAGATACGACGCATAACTATTGAAGTACTTAACGACGCAGCACCGGCAGCACTTCATGCTGTGAACCCAGCGCAACAACACCGCTCCGACTTCAATGCGTACCAACGTACGTGGCGTGGTTTCGGTTTCGTTTTCTCTGAGGTTCTCAATGCCTACCTTCGGTAATGGCCGCGCGGCGGCGCGCCAGTCGCGTCGCACGGAGTGTATAAGGAGTATTCACTGGGCGCCATATTTGTGGGTGCTGTCTAGAGCGCATGCTCAAAACGAGCCCACATTAATAGGCTGCTAAGACCGGCAATCTTGAGGGTGCGGAATGCACTTTACAAAAGAACTGTGGAAGCTCGCCATCAGCACGCGCTCAGCAGTCGCGCACACAGCTATGGCCGCCAGTGAATACTTCCTATAGTATTATGCACTTTTAGCATAGCGTTACCGCGTTCCGTGTACCGCAGCTGCCGGAGCCTTTGACGCGTGCTTTTAAGCGCGTGCCTGCGGTCACGGTATCACTCGGGCACGCGCTTAAGTGCATGCTGTAAAGGGTCCGGTAGTGCGACACGCGGAATAAAGTAACAGTTTGCTAGAGGTTCCTATTTTTATCGGGCATATTTACCGGATTTGAAAGCTAGTAAACACGCGAGTTGATTAAGGTTGTACATCGTTAAGACCGAAGACGACGGAAAGAATGGAGACAGGACACAGGTATCAATAGTGAGCTTTAGTATTGCGTATACGAGCTAACGCAAGCACTGTGCGTTTGCGTTAGCATTGCGTTCTCCACGCTGCGCATGCGCGAAGTCGCCATGCAGATACCTAAGGCCGCAGTTTGGACTCGGCGCACGCGCAGTGTGGAACACGCAACGCTACGCTAACGCAAACGCACAGGGCTTGCGTTCGCTTGCATCCGCAATACTAAAACTCACTATTGAGACCTGTGTCCTGTCTCCATTCTTTCCGTCGTCTCCGGGCTTTACGATGTGCAAACTTACGGAGGCCAAAATGCTAAGGTACTCCCTTGGTGCGAGACGTGTCTTTTCTGTGCGATCGTAGCCCAAAGGTATCGCGCCGCTGGCTTTCAGATTGGCTCGCAATTATTCGCCAACCCCCCCCCCCCCCCTCAAAAAGCATATAAATTTCACCGGGGCGAGAATTTCATCGCTACTGCGCGCAGATTGCTCGAATCAATGAAATCTTAAAGACACTCAGAGTGCATTTATGCTCGCCGAGGTTTTCATTTGAAATGACTTGTAAGAGCCCATCTACCCGTAACGCAATTTGCGCCTAGAAATTCGTTTTCTATCCATCCGAAAATAGTCCGTGTAAGATTGCCCTGTTTCAAGTTAGCTCGCTGTTGTTTCTATGTTCACGTGGTGTTGAAACTATTTGTAACGAATATACTCCAAGTCGCGGGTTATTTAAGACATAAATGCAATATTAAAAATAGAAAATAATGTGAACCCAATTTTTCGTGGCATCCGAAATGCTGCAAATGTGTTTCCGGAAAAAGTATTTTGCACAGATCACATAAGTACATGTACGCGTTATTCTCAATATGGCGACGTGCTACGGGCTGGACGGCGCGATGGTGGCGCACGACGGACCAACGTTGAGACGAACGTGGGGCCGCTACTTCGGAACTACCCTTAGTGGTACAGGCCAATCTACCTTCGACCGCAGAACATCGAGTGCCAAATAATCGCACGACAAACTGTTCACGCAAGATTGTCGTCGTCGTCGTCTGCTTTAGAGGTCGGAGCAGCTGAGGGAAGAAAACGCGTTCGAGTCTATCCTGGTGACTTCCGGCCATGAGCTTCAATGCTCGTGTTTCCGTTTCAGTTTCGAGCAGTTGCGTTTTTCGGATGCATTAAACGTATACGTGAAGTTGCAGAAAAATATTTAATGAGTACTCTTCTTACGCTATATTAAATCTAAATCACCTAAATATTTGGGGCGATATTTAGTTAAAGAATAAAACTTCAGTCTACGAGCTGTTTACTACAATCCACGCAATGTGCTACGTCATTATGGATTTTTTCCGTAACGGCCCGTACAATGAAGCGAGATCCCTCGAACACACATAATTGAAGTCGCCAGCTTCAACGTTTTTGGGAGTCGTGTTTACTTTGTTATTTTAGCTGATTCTGTTCGGGTAGTAAGGCTCTTTTGTTGCTATGGTTAGTAATGTAGGCAAATATTTAAAAAAAATGTCGGTACACTAATACCTTCATGTATTTACCTCACAGATGCAAACAAAAGACCACAGTATTGGTATTAGACACGTGTACCAATAGCCTAGTCGCGCGACACAAAATGGAGATTTATGACAAACTCAGCCGAGCAGCAAGAGTGCTATTTCGGAAGCGAGTGCCTGTCCCCGTACCGTTTGTTACCTATCTTGCTGCAACTACGAACAAGCTTTTTCTAAGAACGATCTTAGGTAAATACTCTCACAAACAAAACGTAACTGAAAGCCCGGCAATCCCGAGAAAATCCGTAATCCCAGAGGAAGACAGGTGGCTCGCTTGGTCCTATCGAGCAAACATCGTCGGTAGGAGTTGAGCAGGGGATGGGAATGCTTTCGGCACTCAAATTTACGTTTATTTACATTACTTGTATACATCCGCATAGACC